GATGTAGTATTTAGTGATGTTTAGTGAAGTAGTATTCAGTGATATTTAGTGATGTAGTACTTTAGTGATGTTTAGTGATGTAGTATTCAGTGATGTTTAGTGATGTAGTATTAGGTGATGTAGTATTCAGTGATGTTTAGTGATGTAGTATTAGGTGATTTAGTATTTAGTGATGTAGTATTAGGTGATGTAGTATTCAGTGATGTAGTATTTAGTGATGTAGTATTCAGTGATGTAGTATTTAGTGATGTAGTATTTAGTGATGTTTAGTGATGTAGTATTTAGTGATGTAGTATTTAGTGATGTTTAGTGATGTAGTATTTAGTGATGTAGTATTTAGTGATGTTTAGTGATGTAGTATTTAGTGATATTTAGTGATGTAGTATTCAGTGATATTTAGATATGTAGTATTTAGTGATGTTTAGTGATGTAGTATTTAGTGATATTTACATATGTAGTATTTAGTGATGTTTAGTGATGTAGTATTTAGTGATGTTTCGTGATGTAGTATTTAGTTATATTTAGTGATGTAGTATTTAGTGATGTAGTATTTAGTGATATTTACATATGTAGTATTTAGTGATGTTTAGTGATGTAGTATTTAGTGATGTAGTATTTAGTGATGTTTAGTGATGTAGTATTTAGTTATATTTAGTGATGTAGTATTCAGTGATGTTTAGTGATGTAGTATTAGGTGATGTAGTATTTAGTGATGTAGTATTAAGTGATGTAGTATTAGGTGACGTAGTATTTAGTGATGTAGTATTTAGTGATGTTTAGTGATGTAGTATTTAGTTATATTTAGTGATGTAGTATTTAGTGATGTTTAGTGATGTAGTATTTAGTGATGTAGTATTAAGTGATGTAGTATTAGGTGATGTAGTATTTAGTGATGTAGTATTTACGTAGTGATGTAGTATTTAGTGATATCGTACTTTAGTGATGTAGTATTTAGTGATGTAGCATGTGATGTATGTGATGTAGCATGTGATGTAGCATGTGATGTAGCATGTGACTTGGTATTCAGTACGTACGGGTCCTCTCCTGGACGCGGGTGGTGTTGTACTTGCTGCCGCTGCGGGAGGCGATGCTGACGGTGTAGAGGCGTCCGGACTCCAGCGAGCTGAACACACACTCGTTGCTGGCCTTGGAGACGGGCACGGAGTGGATCGTCCTCTCAGAGTTGCTCAGCGTCACCAGGTAAGCGTCCACCTCGCCGGGGGGCGCTCGCCACGACACAGACAGAAAGTCCGGCCGCCCGTTGTTACTGACCGTCACCTCGCCCACTGCAGCCGGCACTGGGGGGAGATTTGGATCTGTTTAAATCCTCTGGCTGCTCTTAACCATTATTCAAGAAGAATTATTCGTCCCTCATGTGCTAATATTATATTTAAAGGGGACCTATCATGCAAAATGCGCCAGATGCGTCAGATGCGCCGGTGAAGATGGCCGCATTGTCTTTGTGCTCCTCTCCAACTTTGCCCATTTTCGTATTTTGTACATATTTCTTTTACTTTTGCCGTTTTACTTTTAACATGGTTCGCAACATGCTAGCCGACCGCACCTACTCTGCCATACAATATAGCAGAGAGGAACTTTTCCAATTGCGAAACTTCGTGGACAATATTAACCCTCCGACAGACAATGGAGATTCACCATGGCTACCTGTTGCTGTTCTACCTGAGAGATGCAAGAAGAAGACAAAGCGAGGATGCCGGGCCGGGTTGCTGGTCAGACTGAGAAAACGTGAGAATCGGCCCCCTCTTCCGAGTATTCTTCTGGCTAATGTTCAATCCATTGAAAATAAGCTAGATGAACTCAGAAGCCGGATTGCTTTTCAACGGGACATTAAGAACTGTAACGTGTTAATTCTCACTGAGACTTGGCTCAACCCCGCTATCCCGGACTCCGCTATTGTCCCTGACGGATTCTCTATTTTTCGTCAGGACCGGACTGCAAACTCGGGGAAAAGTAAGGGAGGCGGTGTGTGTGTAATGACTAACAACAACTGGTGCTCAGATGTGAAGATTATTTCATCGGACTGTTCCGCACAGCTAGAGCACCTCATGATCTCATGTCGGGCCTTCCATCTGCCGAGGGAATTCACATCTGTTGTGATAACAGCAGTGTATATCCCGCCGCAGCCACTCGCCGACAACAACACGGCACTCGATCAGCTGTTTGGGTTTATTGATAAAACCGAGACTTCACGGCCAGATGCGGCGTTCGTTGTGGCCGGAGATTTCAACACCGCCAACATGAAGAAGGTTTTGCCAAAATATTACCAACACATCAACTTCCCGACGCGCGGGGGAAACATACTGGACCATGTTTATTCCCCTTTCCGGAATGGATATAAGGCTCTCCCTCGCCCTCCCTTCGGCAAATCAGACCATATCTCACTACTGTTGTTGCCTGCTTACAAGCAGAAACTTAAAAGGGACAGACCGATAACAAGGACAGTACAACGATGGAGCGAGGAGTCAGATTCAGCACTGCAGGATTGCTTTGCATCTACGGATTGGAGTGTGTTTGAGGACAATAACATCAACACACACACGGACACTGTCATCTGCTACATTGGGAAATGCATCGATGACGTGGTACCGAAGGTTTCTGTACGGACATTCCCAAATCAAAAGCCCTGGGTAAACGGTGAGGTGCGCGGCAAACTGAAAGCGCGCACTCTCGCGCACACAGCGGGAGATTTGGAGGAGTACAGGAAGTCTAGGTATGATCTCCGGAGAGCAATAAAAAATGCAAAGAGACAGTACAAAGAGAAGGTGGAATCTGACTTCAAAGGCTGTAACACTAGGAATATGTGGGCGGGACTAAGGACAATGACTGACTACAAAGGAGCAGCGGGGGGTGCTGCGGGAGTGTCTGCGTGCGCATCTCTCCCAGATGAGCTAAACAGTTTTTTTGCACGCTTTGAGAGCAGCCAGGCTGTGGAGGTACAGAGGGACCAGGAGCTACACTGCCCTTTTGTTTTAAATAGGGCAGATGTGTGTAAATCCTTTAAAAGGGTTAACCCACACAAGGCTCCTGGACCTGATGGCATCCCTGGCCGTGTTCTCAGGGTGTGTGCAGTTCAGCTGGCAGAGGTGTTCACAGACATCTTCAACAGGTCCCTGCTGCAGTCTGTAGTCCCCACATGTCTTAAACACTCCACCATCATTCCTGTCCCCAAAAAGACAATCATCACCTGCCCCAACGACTACCGCCCAGTAGCACTCACCTCCATCATAATGAAGTGCTTTGAGCGGTTAGTCAAATTATTCATCACCTCCTCCCTCCCTGAATCTCTGGACCCCCTGCAGTTTGCCTACAGAGCAAACAGGTCCACAGACGACGCCATAGCCCTCACCCTCCACACTGCCCTCTCACACCTGGACCCGAAGAACAGGAACACATATGTGAGAATGCTGTTCATTGACTACAGTTCAGCATTCAACACCATTGTGCCCTCCAAGCTGGCCATCAAGCTCAGAGACCTCGGGCTCAACAGCGCCCTCTGCGACTGGATCCTGAACTTTCTGACGGGCAGACCCCAGGCAGTGCGGGTGGGAAACATCACATCCTCCACCCTGATTCTTAACACCGGTGCCCCTCAAGGCTGCGTGCTCAGCCCTCTCCTCTACTCCCTGTTCACCCACGACTGCGTGGCCACACACAGCTCCAACACCATCGTGAAGTTTGCTGATGACACGACCGTCATCGGCCAGATCACAGACGATGACGAGACGGCATACAGAGAGGAGGTCGAAAACCTGACATCTTGGTGCCAGGAGAACAACCTCCATCTCAACATCAGCAAAACAAAGGAGCTGATTGTGGATTACAGGAAGCAGCAGGGAGAGGGACACACCCCCATCGCCATCAATGGGACTACGGTGGAGAGAGTCAAAAGCTTCAGGTTCCTTGGGGTCCACATCACTGAGGACCTGACATGGACTCATCACTGAGGACCTGACATGGACTCATCACTGAGGACCTGACATGGTCTCTTCACACCACCACCATCACCAAGAAAGCTCGACAGCGGCTCTTCTTCCTCCGCAGGCTGAGGAGGTTCAAAATGGATTCCAGGATACTCTGCAACTTCTACAGGTGCACGATAGAGAGTATCCTCACTGGCAGCATGACGGCCTGGTACGGCAGCTGCACCGACCTCGATCGTAAGGCTTTACAGAGGGTGGTGAAAACTGCACAGCACATCACCAGGACGGAGCTGCCATCCATGGAGGACCTTTACTCCCAGCGGCTCAGGAAGAAATCACTACGGATTATCAAAGACCCCCATCACCCCAGCCACAAACTGTTCTTTCTGTTGCCGTCTGGCAGACGTTACCGCAGCATCCGGGCAAGGACAAGAAGATTCGGAGACAGTTTCTTCCCGCGGGCAGTGAGACTGTTAAAAAATTGAACTGTTGAAACAACTTCAAACATTCAACTGCTACTCAGTAGTATGTATCTAATACCTAATATATATCTATCATTCCAATAACTTGTATATAGACTCATACTGCACTATTCCACATCATAACTTTATTTCATTTTTATAACTATTATTATTTTTGTATTGCTCTTGCTCTTATTGTTATTATGTTATGTTATTATGTTGCATTGTTGGAGAAGCCTGTGACATAAGATTTTCAACTGCATAATTACTCTGTAGCTATGTCAGATTGACAATAAAGAACCTTGAACCTTGAAATGCACTTTTGTACGTCTTTTATACATGAATATGTGTCCCCGGTGTTCCAGGGAACTCACCAAGTGTCAGAAAACACAACCCTCTCTATTTTCCTCCATACCCAAATCTCTAAAAAAGGGGCTGCAACGGACCTGATACAGACTGATCCAGATTTGAACACTTCTATGACGTCACAGAAGTGGCGCTACGGCTATTGGGCCAACTCTCCACCTATCAGGGGAATGTGGGGTTGGGCCACAGCCGGCCATTGCTGCTCGAAAGCGCTGGAGACGATGTAGTACATATGCCAGGCCTGTAAGTGGCGCTGTAGTCTGCCACAAAAGCAGCGAAGAAGACTTCCCACGCATATGGTAACCATGGTTACCCTTCTGTTTATTCTCCGCTGTGGCTTTCTTTCTCCCTCCCCGAGGCAAGCGTTTGCTCCCGCTGCTTTAATTCAATGCAATCCCTCCCCGTCGAGGCAAGCACTGTAATTCTCTCCGGTTAGTCCACCAGCAGATGACAAACACCCACCTCTCCGCCTCTTCCAAGGAACCAGGGGACCGTGCGGCAGAGTTTCAGTTTCAGTTTCTTTCGCCGGTCAAGATGTCCGTTAAAGTTTAAATCTTCCGGACAAAATTAGAAAAGTGCCGGTCAAAGGTTTTCTTTGTTATTTATTGAGCTTTAAAACAAATGAATAACGACTCTATATAATAAAACACGGAGGACGGAGATCTCTTTTTCTCCCCCTCTTCTGACAGCCCAGCAGCTGATCAGAGCACGTCTCACCTCTCCTGCAGGGGGGCGTGGTCAGCAGAATCAGACCGTAGACAGCAAACAGCACATAGAGCGAAATGAGGCATGGCTAAAATGCATGATCTGTTTGGTATTTTGAAAACAGAAACGTATAGATATACCTTATATAGGTATGGCCCTACAATATATCATTTAAATATAGCATGATAGGTCCACTTTAATGTAGGAGCCGCATTTAAGTTTATTTTGTTCTGATCTACAGTGGAGGAAATAAGTATGTGATCCCTTGCAGATTTTGTATGTTTGCCCACTTACAAAGAAATTAACAATCTATAATTGTAATGGTAGGTTTATTTTAACAGTGAGAGTAAGAATATAAAAAAGATATCCAGAAATTCACATTATATAAAAGATAAAAATGTATTTGCATTTAACTGTGTGAAATAAGTATTTGATCCCATTGCAACAAACATGAACAATTATTCTCCCTCCTGTGCTCATATTATATTTCATTCAGTTTCCGTTACTGAGGGAACGCAGTAAAATGTTCGATACCAGATGGTCTAACTTAAAAAAACAAAATATAATAACTCCAAAATCTTGGCACACTTTGGACTGAGGTTATGCTCACCGGTGTGTCCCTCTGCGACCGTCTGCCTGGAGCTGAGTCCGGCCCTGACGGTGGTCAGCACCGCCCTGTAGAGGGCGCCGGGCCTCAGGAGGTGGAAGGTGGTGCTGGTGGCGTCCGCCGCCACGCTCTCGTTCTTGATTACGCTGCTGTCGCTGACCAGCAGAACGCGGTACGAGTCCAGAACTCCGGAGGCTCGCTGCCAGCTGGCCTGCAGGCTGTCGGTGCTGCTCTGAACCCCCAGCAGCAGCCCAGAGACCTGGGCCGGACCTGAGGACACACAGCGGGGATCAGCTGACTGCACCATGCTATCAGAGTGCTAACAATATATCAGAGTGCTAACAAAATATCAGAGTGCTAACAATTTATCAGAGTGCTAACAATATATCAGAGTGTGAGCTACGTACGGGTGTATGCTCTGACAGAGGCTGAGCTGCTCAGGTTGCCGCTGTTGGTCGTCACGGTGACGGTGTACAGCTCTCCTGAGGTCAGGGTGGTAAAGGTAAATTCTTTGGCCTCCCGGGGGAGGACCCTCCACACCTCCATTGGGGCGGGGGCCACCTGAGAGAGGGCGGGGGCCACCTGAGGGAGGGAAGGGTCCATCTGATGGGGGTCAGCCTGTCGGAGGGCGGGGTCCATCTGATGGGGGTCAGCCTGTCGGAGGACGACCGTGAAGCCGTCCCACTCCCCGGGGGGGGGGCTCCACAGGACGCTCAGCGTGGTTTCATCAGCATGACGGACCATCAGCTTCTGCACAGGAAGAGGCGCTGCAGGGGGACATTAGATCAAATATATAGAATATCATAATATATCTATATCGAAATACAGGGCAATAATGGCTGTGTATGTGAACTGATATAAAGTTCATAAGCGTTGTAATTTTAAACTGATAAGACAGGTATATTATTTATAATAATATTATAAATAATGTTATGTTACCTGTGCGCACCGTCGTGCTGCCCCTCTCTCCGTCCTGCTCTGAGATCACCGTTACCCGGTACCGGGTCCCGGGACTCAGACCTGTGACCCGGCAGGTGAAGCCCCTCTGGTCTGGGTTGCAGGGAGTGGGTCGGGGGGGCTCCCCGGTGATCAGGCTGAAGCTACAGGAGGGTCCAGGGGTGCTGAAGGATACTGACACAGCACCGGAGCTCCAGCTGATGTTGGAGAAGTTCACTGAGCAGCGGGACACCTGAAACAAGAAGTGACATCACCATAGGTGAGTCTACTCACTTAGTAACTAATTAATTGATCAAAATACAACAACTGAGATATGGGATTGTCCCACTCTCAATAATTTTAAAGGTCAACTAAAAGAATGGTTGAGAAACAAACAGACGTGCAATCACCGCTAAATGCACTTTAACACAGGGGTATCTCCTCCTGCACTCTACACGTCCTAGCTGCTACATCGTGCTGCCATGTCTTAAATGTTTGTATATGCTGCTCTTGCTCTTTCTGCATATCATGTATTTATTTTTGCTGTGTTTATAAATGTCATGTTCTTAAATGTTGTATGTGAGGGACTACTGATGGAAATGAGCTCAAAGCTAAAATCCGGCATGTTTACATTTGAAGCATTATTTGTTTAAAGTGTTCATCAATGTGCATTGTCTCTGTTCAAATAAACGATTACAAAAAAAAGAAGAAAAAGATTCAAATACAACAATAACAATAATAATAATGACTACATTAAAACAAATGTATTATTATTATTGTTTTTTTTTCTTCAGATTTCTTGATGTTTATTTTTTAGTCGGCCAACTGTCACTGTTGTTGGAAACGTACCTAAAATGATTTATTGTCATATTTTAACAATGTGATCACATGACTCCTTGCTGTCAACTAGCTAGCTAACGTATCTAACCTAGTCATTTCAGATATACTGACGAACACTAATGATGCATTCACACCATTAGCATCGCTCTAACCGCATCGCTCTAATCGCTCAAATTTCACCGCAGCTGTCAGCTGTGTTTAGTCGCGTCATTCAAACAAGACGCACTGGCGAGGGGGCGGGGCTTATATCCATGAAAATACTATGGTAGATACCAACTACAACAAAATGAACAAATTTTACCGTGATTTAATTGTAATACACGCTTCAAAATGATGCCAAAATAAGTGTGCAGACAAGACGGCAGAGGAAACACTTTTAAAATGCTTGTTTTTCTGAATGGAGATTGGATCGATGAGGCTAAGCTAACTTTGTAGCTGCTCCGTCCAAACTCACAACAATGCCACACAGGCATCAATAAAGCAGTGACTGTATTCGCCATGCCACAGACAGTCTGTGGTTTGTTCATGTATAACTTTTCTCCAGTTTCTGAACAGATATGAGGAGCTGTGTGCTCTGAGGGCTAACAGCTAACGGCTGCTATTTTGGTTTTCTGATTCAACGTCAGTGATGGCAGGCTGAGATCCTCACCGCTGATTGGCTTACGAGACAACACGTCACACAAATTTGATGCTTGAGTAAAAAAATTGAACTGTCGGTCATTCTAGTAGCCACACTTAAAAAGATTAGTCTTAACTGAAGCTAATGTCTCTGCAGGATTCTTGCTCTTCTGAGTTTGTTTCCTCATAGATGATTGAACATTTCATAGCCAAATAAGGAACAGCTAACAGCTTATATGCGTACAGAGCTGCCATTGAGTTATACCCATTAACATTTCTGTTTTTAAAATCGTTTTAATGCCTTTCCCCTCTAAGCAGCGTAGGAGAGCAGCCTGAGTACTTACAGCTGTGGCCGCAGTTGGAGTAGAAGCTGTGGTAGCTCTGGTTGGAGCTGCAATCGCTGAACTGGTGCTGGGTTGGGTCATGGATGTGACCGTTGTGGTAGTGGGTTTGGTGGTGCTTACAGGTGTGGTAGTGGGTTTGGTGGTGGTTACTGGTGTTGTAGAGGGTTTGGTGGTGGTTACTGGTGTGGTGGTGGGTTTGGTGGTGGCCACAGGTGTGGTAGTGGATTTGGTGGTGGTTACTGGTGTTGTAGAGGGTTTGGTGGTGGTTGCTGGTGTAGTGGTGGGTTTGGTGGTGGTTACAGGTGTGGTGGTGGGTTTGGTGGTGGCCACAGGTGTGGTAGTGGATTTGGTGGTGGTTACTGGTGTGGTAGTGGGTTTGATGGTGGTTACAGGTGTGGCTGTTGGTTTGGTGGTGGTTGCAGGTGTGGTTATGGGTGTGTTGGTGGTTACAGGTGTGGCTGTTGGTTTGGTGGTGGTTGGCATAGGTGTGGTAGTTGGTTTGGTGGTGGTCACAGGTGTGGTAGTGGGTTTGTTGGTGGTTACAGGAGTGGTAGTGGGTTTGGTGGTGGTTACTGGTGTTGTAGTGGGTTTGGTGGTGGTTACTGATGTTGTAGTGGGTTTGGTGGTGGTTACTGGTGTGGTGGTGGGTTTGGTGGTGCTTATAGGTGTGGCTGTTGGTTTGGTGGTGGTTGCAGGTGTGGTAGTGGATTCGGTGGGGGTTACTGGTGTGGTAGTGGGTTTGGTGGTGGTTACAGATGTGGTAGTGGGTTTGGTGGCTGTTACAGGTGTGGCTATTGGTTTGGTGGTGGTTGCAGGTGTGGTTATGGGTGTGTTGGTGGTTACAGGTGTGGCTGTTGGTTTGGTGGTGGTCACAGGTATGGTAGTCGGTTTGGTGGTGGTTACAGGTGTGGAAGTGTGATAGGTGGTGGTCACAGGTGTGGTAGTGGGCTTGGTGGCAGTTACAGGTCTGTTAGTGGGTTTGGTGGCAGTTACAAGTGTGGTGGTGGGTTTGGTAGTGGTTACAGGTGTGGTTGTGGGATAGGTCTCGGTTACATGTGTGGTAATGGGATAGGTGGTGGTCACAGGTGTGATAGTGGGTTTGTTGGTGGTTACAGGTGTGGTAATGGGATAGGTGGTCGTTACAGGTGAGGTAGTGGGTTTGTTGGTAGTTACTGGTCTGGTAGCGGGTTTGGCAGTGGTTACTGGACTGGTAGTGGGTTTGGCGGTGGTCACAGGTGAGTTTGTTGGACTTGTGGTGGTGATCCCCCCCCGGGATGTAGGAAGAGCGCCTTCAGTGTCGGTGCTTGCTGAGATTTTCAGGTGAATGGTAGAGAATGTCGGCTGTGACAGAGGAACACCAAGAGAAGTTTTGGAAATGGACAGAGTTTGAGAGGTGGATGGTGGAAGCGTCTCCATGATGGACGTTGGTACGCAAGCTGTCTTTGGAAGAGGCGTGGCAGCGGAGGATGCAGGTGGAGTTGAATGTGTTGAATAGAGTTTGTTTGATTCAGTGATAGAAACCGCTGATGAAGCAAAAATAACATCCGAAGTGACCTTGGAGGTTACGGTAACATCGGGGATGCCTCCAGAGGTAACGTTGGAGGTGCCCAGAGAATCAGTGGTGTTAGAGTCTCTGGAGGTTCTGGAGGAACCTGTGGAGGAACCTGATGAGGAACCTTTGGAGGAACCTGTGGAAGAACCTGTGGAGGGACCTGTGGAGGAACCTGTGGAGGAACCTGTGGAAGAACCTGTGGAGGGACCTGTGGAGGGACCTGTGGAGAGACCTGTGGAGGAACCTGATGAGGAACCTGTGGAGGGACCTGTGGAGGGACCTGTGGAGAGACCTGTGGAGGAACCTGTGGAGGAACCTGTGGAGGAACCTGTGGAGGAACCTGTGGAGGGACCTGTGGAGGGACCTGTGGCGGAACCTGTGGCAGAACCTGTGGAGGGAACCAGAGTCACAGCTGCAGCTTCAGATTCAGGATCATTGCCGTCAGAGACGGCGTTCAAGGTTGAAACTTCTTGGTTCTCCGATATAGTCTCTGCTTCAGTCCAAAGCTGAAGAAGATTTCTAGCCGATGAACTCTGCCATACGTCTGTCGCAAACTCAGCCGGACTTGAGGAGAGAATGCGGGTGCTGTTTAGAACTGAAAGATCTGTGCCTGAAACTGAGGTATCAGGACTGGAGTCTGTGCTAACCGTCGTCCTTGTTTCTGGTTTAGGTTCGTCGTCTACAGATGTTGGAACAGATGTTGGAGCTGATGTATTAGGACTGGAGTCTGCTGTAACCGTCGTCCCTGTTTCTGGTTTAGATTCGTCGTCTACAGATGTTGGAACAGATGTTGGAGCTGATGTATTAGGACTGGAGTCTGCTGTAACCGTCGTCCCTGTTTCTGGTTTAGATTCGTCGTCTACAGATGTTGGAACAGATGTTGGAGCTGATGTATTAGGACTGGAGTCTGCTGTAACCGTCGTCCTTGTTTCTGGTTTAGGTTCGTCGTCTACAGATGTTGGAACAGATGTTGGAGCTGATGTATTAGGACTGGAGTCTGCTGTAACCGTCGTCCTTGTTTCTGGTTTAGGTTCGTCGTCTACAGATGTTGGAACAGATGTTGGAGCTGATGTATTAGGACTGGAGTCTGCTGTAACCGTCGTCCTTGTTTCTGGTTTAGGTTCGTCGTCTACAGATGTTGGAACAGATGTTGGAGCTGATGTATTAGGACTGGAGTCTGCTGTAACTGTCGTCCCTGTTTCTGGTTTAGATTTGTCGTCTACAGATGTTGGAACAGATGTTGGAGCTGATGTATTAGGACTGGAGTCTGCTGTAACTGTCGTCCCTGTTTCTGGTTTAGATTTGTCGTCTACAGATGTTGGAACAGATGTTGGAGCTGATGTATTAGGACTGGAGTCTGCTGTAACCGTTGTCCCTGTTTCTGGTTTGGAGACATGGTCCCCAAATGTTGAATCTCCGTCAGTTATTAAGCTGTGGACGTCTGAGGCGGTGACCTGTCCAGTGGTCGAGTGGGTTCCTCCTGCTTCAGATAGTCGCTCGTCAGTGACTTTGATGGAGGGACTCTTAGCGGTGTAGCCGATGCTTGAGGGTTCATGTGTGGAGGAATAAAAGATTGTGGACGCAGAAGATGTGTCTGAAAAACAAGGATAAAGTTGTTGTGTGAAATGTCAGTAACCACTGAAATATGTAGAGAGCGACTCTGATCTGAAACATGCTCTGTTCACCAGAGGCTTAGTCTCCAGACAGACTCCATCACACCCCCCGACATGTTGATCACATGGAGAGTTCAGAGGATGTGTTTTCGACTCTGTAAACCTCATGAGTTCAGTTTGTCAGTTTGAGCTCATTAAAGATATACAGTATTGAAATCCTGATAAAGAGTCCTTCCGACCAATCAAATCGTTAGAAGGGAAGGCCGGCGGGCTTTCCTTGACATGTCCCTGACACAGCGCACTGCGGGTGTAGTATACAGTGAGTGTAGCGTGCAATTTTCACCACACATTAATTAAGAGGGGCGCTGTTTCAGTCTTTGTAAAATACTCACTGACAACAGCAGAGAGATGTTTTTTAATACAAATAAAAAATATAAAGAAATACCCAGACTCCAGGAGAAAACGCCACTGGAGGCTGAGCAGAATCTCCCCTGTGCTTCTCTAGAAGTTGTCTTTATGGGTGAAGTTAATTAACTTAAAATTACCATACTGCTTATAACTTATATAAGGTGTGTATTAATGGGTTTAACTAGAAGATGATAGATGATGGCATTTCATTTAATCTGGCATAATATGATTAGTCAACATCAGGATGAATTTTTCATTTTCTTATAATTACAGGGAGCGGGAATGAGCAGCAGGAATCTGTTAAAGTCCTTGCAATTTCATTTAAGAATGGAAAGGAAATAAAAATAAAAATCTACAGTGTCCAAAGCACAAACCATCTCCTGGAAGTATCAGGTGAATTTGGATTTTTCCTTGATAGGATTTTAAAACACAACACAGACTTCCAAGAGTTTATAGATATTGATAGAAGTGAGAACATAAGTAACTTTGACAGATTCCAAGTGCACTTTTCTGAAGCACCGGATCTTCAGCCTGTCCTAAGAGAAGTCTGTCAAACTCAGGTATACATTTACCATGCTTGTTAAATTGTGTTTCAAAAAATCACACAGGCCAGAACTTTACTTTGTGCTGCTCTTATTGTTTTGTTCAGCCTACACAAGAACCAGTTCTTCTGAATGGCCTTAGTGATCTACTCAAGAAGAAAACTCCAGAAGTATTTGATGAACAAAGTTTGCATCTCTGACTTGGTAGAGACGCAAAGGTTGTAAGTATATGAATGTGAAATATATATAGGGGTTGGGACACTTTTTCCCTTAATTTCATTGCCCAACCATTTCTGTTTCGGGCCTGAAATTGTTCTTGTCATTTTTTACATTTAAGTTATTCATATTCATATTCTGTGAACAAAGAATTATATTTGTTAATAAAGTCCCTGTCTTTCAAATTGAAACTGCTCTGCTTGTTAACTTTTATTTGTTGTTACCATACTTACTATGGGGATGACTACATAATTATTAAAGCTAATTAACTATAAATATGCTATGAGATCACCATAGCCAACTCTAGAGTATTACTATAGTAATTTTCTATAGTGTGTTCCAAAAAAACATAGAAATAATATAGAAAACACTATTGTGATACTACATATACATACACATAACTCTATAGTATAACACTTCACTATAACATCACCATAGCCAACTATTACTCAAGTCATTCTCTGTAGTGTGTTCCAAAAAAACATAGAATGACTTTAATAATACTGATAGTTTTGTTGTGGTATTTCTATAGTAATTCTTAATAGTAATACTATAGTGTTTTTTTGTAAGGGTCTCCTGTAGTTCTATAGGTGTTAGTGCATGTAAATGGTCTGCAAAGGCTAGGGGAGTTCCCCCCCACCTCAAATGCACCAACACATTTCATTCTGTATCAAGTCTGTGTTGCAGATTCAATAAAAACATTAGAAGAGGAAGAAGACGACATACTCTATTAATCCCTCACAGGAAATGTTCTATTGTACACACACACACACACACACACACACACACCACACACACACACACACACAGCACACACACACACACACACACACACACACACACACACACACACACACACACACACACACACACACACACACACACACACACACACACACACACACACACACACACACACACACACACACACACACACACACACACACACACACACACACAGAGGGGAGGTGCAGAGCACAGAGGCTGCCAGTTATCCAGCGTCAAGGGACGTTTTGAGGTCAGGTGCCATATATTTGTTTTGGTCCGATCAGGACGTGAACCGGCAAACCTACGTTCCAAGACCAAGTCCTTATTGTTGTTGTTGTTGTTGTTATTATTGTTGTTATTATCACTCAGTGTTTAAAGTGTGTCTCAGCCGCTCAGAGAGTCGAGAGACGTTTGGGTGAAGATGTTGGCTGAGCCTCTGACAGGAAGTGCTCTGCTGTCGTACTTCCTGTCTGACGGACAGCAGAAACAATGAACAGGAAGTGCTGGACTCTCCGCTCATTAACGCACTTCCTGTTGATGCAGGTGTGAGGTGGACTCTGTCACACACTCTCTCTGAACACATTTTAAATGATTCAGATACACTTTAATAATAACTGTAAGATATTAGAATGAACTGCTCAGCAGACGACGAACAAGGTTTATTCAGAAAAAGGTATATAATAAATATATATTACATATAATTAATATAAGTTAATATTCTGCAGTATATATACATGATATTATTTATTATAATAGTGATGCAATCATTCGGGTCTAATTATTATTGATATTATTAGTAAATCAATTATAATTATCAATTCTTTATTTATTATTATTCTTTTTTTTCCTTTTAATTATTTTTTATAAAAATAATATACTATTATTTAATTTTAATTTGACTATCCTTTATATATTTGTGTATCTCTGCTCCATCTAGTTACCAGTATCCAGATTTGACTTTTCAAAATGACCAACATTAGTTTAAACAAACATTAAAGAGTTTATCAGCCGACATCAGAAATAAGTGTGTTGATCTTATTATATTTTATATATAGATTGTACCCCCTAACATGTCTCAGATTCTCCTGTTTAATAAAAAGTGTATTGAGAAAAAGAGAAACTTCAATGATTTTAAATTATAAAGAAATAAAAGCAGATTTCAGAATAACTGAGAACTCTTAGTATTTTATCTTCGGTACTTAAACATGCTGTATAACATGTTCATAATAATATAACATCCTATGATGAAGAGTTTTTAGCTGTTCCTGATATCACCATGAAGACCCCCTAGTATTTGTTATGTTTAATTAAACATATAAGTTTTCTGACATGTAATGTTTGAATATGCTCCTGATGCAGTACGTGCTGCTAACTTTGGGATCAATCTGTCCACACAAACAGCAGTGAGTGAGGGTCAGCTTTCTCTCCTTCACAGAGATCTGCTGAATCTGTCTTCTCTCAGAATAAAATACTTTTAGTTGATGTACTTACAGCGGGAGGCGAGCAGGACCAGCAGCAGGATCAGAGCGTCCATGTTTCTGCAGCTCCAGACCATCAGGGAAGTGCTCCTATTGGACAGGAAGCAGAGAGTCACTTCCTGCTATTCAACACACCGGCATTCTCCAAACACCAGAGCCATCAACGCGCTGCACAGGAATAAACCTGTAGAAGAAGAACAGTAATAAACCTGTAGAAGAAGAACAGGAATAGGGTCTCAGTCAGTAGGGGCTTGGGCTGTGAGCCGTAGGGTCCCCGGTTCAAGCCCCCGGACAGACCTAAAATATGGAGTTTGGATTGCTACTTGGTGAGGTCCCAGTTCACCTCCTGGGCCCTGCCGTTGTGCCCTTGAGCAAGGCACCGGACACCCGCCACCCCTCACTCCCATTGCTCCCCGGGCGCTGTGCAATAGCTGCCCACTGCTCCTACACACACACACACACACACACACACACACACACACACACATACACACACAACACACACACACACACACACACACACACACACACACACACACACACACACACACACACACACACACACACACACACACACACACACACACACACACACACACACACACACACACACACACACACACAGTCCTTGGTTGCAGGAAGACTCCTCTTCCTCTGCACACAGACATTTCCTCAAACCCTGAACACACCCTGACCTCTGGGAGGATGGAGCGCCCACCGAGCACGATCAACACACACACACACACACACACACACACACACACACACACACACACACACACACACACACACACCCCACACACACACACGCACACACACATATACACACACTCACACACACACACACACACGCACACACACACGCACACACACACAACACACACAACACCACACATATACACACACTCACACACACACACACACACACACACACACACATATACACACACTCACACACACGCACACACACACACACACAACACACACACACACACACACACACACACACACACACACACACACACACACACACACACACACACCACACACACACACACACACACACACACACACACACACACACACACACACACACACACACACACACACACACACACACACACACACACACACTATGTTCCAGAACAATCAGTATACATAATAAGGGGACAGTATTCCCGTACAGTTACATACATAATTAGTAATTGGATTACTTCTTTAAAAAATGGTGGATTACTAGCAGGATGACAGTGTTGTAGCACTTTATTATTTTATATATATACACTATATAGACAAACATATTGGGACACCCCTTTGAATCATTGAATTCAGGTGTTTCATTCAGTCCCATTGCCACAGGTGTATAAAATGAAACACCATGCAGTCTGCCTTTACAAACATCTCTGAAAGAAAGGCTCGTTCTAAAGAGCTCACTGAAGTCCAACGTGGTTCTGAAACAGGATGTCAGTTCATTTCTTATTTTTCTCTCCTAGATATTCCACGATCAACTGTAAGTGGTATTGTTGCAAAATGCAAGCCTTACATCACCAAGCACAATGCCAAGCGTCGGATGGAGGGGTGTAAAGCCGCCACTGGACTCTGGAGCAGAGGAAACGTGTTCTGTGGACCAATCACGCTTCTCTATCAGTCTGATGAGTCTGGGTTTGTTGAATGCCAGGAGAACCTTACCTGCCTGACTGCATTGTGCCAACTGTAAAGTTTGGTGGAGGAGGGATAATGCTATGGTTGTTTTTCTGGAGTTGGCCTCGGCCCCTTAGCTCCAGTGAAGTGACTCTTCATGCATCATCTTACCAAGTCATTTTGGACAATTCTATGCTTCCTACTTTGTGGAAACAGTTTGGGGAAGAAGAACCTTTTTCTTCCAGCATGACTGAGTCTCACAAAGCAGGTCCATGAAGGCCTGGTGGATGAGTTTGGTGGAAGAACTTGACCTGAACCAATTGAACTCTAACCCATGGCCGTCAGACAGACACACGCCAACATCTTTTAGAAAGCCTTCCCAGAAGAGTGGAAGCTGTTAAAGCTGCAAAGGGGTTAGGGTTAGGGCATTCATTATAGACACATGCATTTCCTAACATTTGGTCTACCTACCTACGCTGTAAAACGTATTATCTCTTCGATTTACACACAGCATCTATTGCACGTCTGTCCGTCCTGGGAGAGGGATCCCTCCTCTGCTGCTCTCCCTGAGGTTTCTCCCATGTTTCCTTCAAACTGTGGGGTTTTCTCTGGAAGTGTTTCCTTGTACGATGTGAGGGTCTAAGGACAGAGGGTCTAAGGACAGAGGGTCTAAGGACAGAGGGTCTAAGGACAGAGGGTGTCGTTTTTTCTCATACTGATATTCTGAACAAACTGTGCTGTTGTATTTGCTGTAAAATGTCTTCACTGTAGGGTATTTTTATTAATTGTACAGCACTTTGGCTCGACCAAAAATCGTTTATAAATGTGCTATATAAATAAAACTTGATTTGATTTGATTCATATTAATGCCTAAGAATTTAGAATGGGATGTCATAAAAGCTCCTGAAGGTGTAATGTGGAGGTGGCCCAATACCTTTGTCTATATGTATATATAATTGTATAGTAATACTGGAAGTGTGAATCTGCTTCATCGATTTCAATTCCTTTGGTTCGTTTATTCTTTTTTTTATAGGTTTTTCTCATAATGTGACTTTCTTTTTTAATCGAATTTAAGTTTTTCCTCATAATTTGACTTGCTATAATTTGTCTTGCTATAATTTGACTTGCTATAATTTGACTTGCTATAATTAGTGCGAATGCTGTGCCACAGCATTCCACTATAGTAAATCTTTATTCTTCCCCTTAAAATTATTATTTCACCAATACTTTGGCTCTCCATAACCTCAGCTTACTTTCAGCTACAGAATCCATTCAAATATTAAACTATTCAGCCTGTTCAGGAATCGATGGGAAACCTTCAACTTTTTAAAAATATGTTGTACTTTTTGAAATATTCAGCTTTTTAAACTCTTTTTTTTAACATTGAAGTCAATGGGAGATGCCTTCAAATCCTCTTTTCCTACACTTTGCGCCAAATGCTTCTCCTTCCACATACTTTCAGCTAGACACTTCATTCCAACTTTCAAATGATCACAACACCTTCAGCTATTCAAAATTGACTTTTATTTTTGATATCTTTTACACTTTTTGAGATAATTAACTTTGTTTGGAGCTTGGTAAAGAGGCTTTCTTCAGATTTTAACATTTGTGTGGATGGAGCAGCTCGTTAAGTCTAGAGTGCTTTGATCTCAAAACAGAGTGCAGCAGTTCTTCAAATTCTCCCCCAAAAATGTTTTAAACTTGCCATAATTCCCAAACCCTACACTCCTCAGACATATTTTTTCATGAAAAACGTAGGAAAACCTCTCATAGCTTGAAAAATGACAAGCAATTAAGCAAAATAATTAAACAAAATGCCTCTTGAGGGCATGAAGTGACAAAAACGTTCAACATGTCTCCATTAAAGCCCATTGTAATTTCAGGCAGATATTTCCTCACAGCAGCAGCCGCACACCTTTCTTAAACTGCCAAAAAGGCCACATTATTAACCCGAAAGTACACAAAAATTACACTTCAAATACTCAACTTCCTTGACATGCTTCACGTTTTGAAATTTCAGAGATATCTGTTATCGTTCTTCCACAAAACGTTCACATGTAAGAGGTTCATCTCTCATTCAGAACAATGAAGCCTTTGATGTCTTCATAGCTCGTTAGCTCAACTATAAACACCTGTGTTATGGAACGCGATGATGTCATCACTCCAACTGACAGCAGTCAGTTCTAACTGTTCATTTCATACTCACACACACACACTCTCTCTCTCTCTCTCTCTCTCACAAACTCTCTCTCTCTCTCTCTCTCTCTCTCTGTTAAAAAAGTGCTCAAAATTCACATGTGTGCTAACAGTCCAGCCGTGAAGACATCTACGAGACAGTTTTGAGATTTCTTCAAATGCCGTTGCCATGGCGACAGACCACTCGCCATGAAGCACGATGTCGCTGTAAGTCCAATGGACACGGTCCGATCATCCCCCAATCTTCACTTGTATATCACCGGTCCATGCCTCAACAGCTCTACGCCAAATCTGAAATCTCACCATATGCCGTTTCCATGGAAACGCATCCCTCGCCATAAAAGACGATGTCGCTATAACTCCTATGAAAATGTTCAAAAAGTGCTCAAACTTCATATGCGTGCTAACAGTCCAGCCGTGAAGACATCTACGGGACAGTTTTGAGATTTCTTCAAATGCCGTTGCCATGGCAACACAATGCTCACCATGAAACACGGTTTTCTCATAACTTCAGTGAAAATGCTCGAAATGGCCCAAAACTTCACAGGTTTGGTAACGATGCAGCCATCAACACATCTAAGCGTATTATGGGGTGTCATCAAATGCCGTTGCCATGGCGACAGATAATTCACCATCAAGTTAGTTCAAAAGTTTGTAGGTCAAATATTCTGCTGCTTTCCGAAGCCTTTTTACTTTCTTTTCTCATCTTAATACAAATTCATTCACTACTACTTACATCTGATATTTAACTCCTTCAGCCTATTTTCAGCTGCAGAAACCATTCAACTATTACATTATTCAGCTATTTCAGGACATCAAGGCTATACATGTTTTTTTAAACCTTTTCTTTTAAATATGAAGCTTCTTCTGCATTTGTGTAGCTAAAAGCAGCTACCATTCAGCTAATAACATATTCAGCTTTTTCTGCATTTTCAGCTAAATTCAGCCACAAATGTTCACAGTTTACAGCATTTGCACGCATTTTCTGCAGGAAATGCATTTTCTAGTTATTATTATTATTTCAGCCAATACTTTAGCACTCCATAACTTCAGCTTATTTTCAGCTACAGAAACCATTCAAATATTAAACTATTCAGCCTGTTCAGGAATCGATGGGAAACCTTCACATTTTTAAAAATATTTTATACTTCTTAAAATATTCAGCTTTTTAAACTCTTTTTTTAACATTGAAGTCAATGGGAGATGCCTTCAAATCCTCTTTTCCTAAACATTGCGCCAAATGCTACTCCTTCCACATACTTTCAGCTAGACACTTCATTCCAACTTTCAAATGATCACAAGACCTTCAGCTATTCAAGATTGATTTTTATTTTTGATATCTTTTACACTTTTTGAGATATTTAACTTAGTTTGGAGCTTGGTAAAGAGGCCTTTTTCAGATTTTAACATTAGTGTGGATGGAGCAGCTCGTTAAGTCTAGAGTGCTTTGATCTCAAAACAGAGTGCAGCAGTGCTCCCCAAAAAATGTTTTAAACTTGCCATAATTCCCAAACCCTACACTCCTCAGACATATTTTTTCATGAAAAACGTAGGAAAACCTCTCATAGGTTGGAGAATTAAAAAAAATTAAGAAGAAATATTAATCAAAATGCCTCTTGAGGGCATGAAGAGACAAAAAGTCCAGCTAGCTCCCAATTGATTCCCATGTTAAATCTTTCCGGAACTTTCTTCAGAACAGAGAGAAGTACACTTTAGACAAACTGCTCCCATCTCCACATTTTACACACAAAACCAAAGAAAACAACATATATCAGTTCATTGGGGTTCCCTGATGCTCAGGGTCTGGTCATTTTTTGATAGGAGCCATAGTTTTTGAACAGGTGGCAAAATTGTCAGATATAATCCTCAATGCATTCTTAATGGGCCTCAGTGCTGCAGTTGGTAAATCGTCATAAGTTGTCACCATGGTAACCTTTCATCTCTGGGTTTACACACACAGGTGTTTGTAAACATTCATTCACTACTACTTACATTTAATATCTTTATTTAACTCCTTGAGCCTAATTTCAGCTGCAGGAACCATTCAAATATCAAACTATTAAGCCTTTTCAGCACACGATGGGAAACTTTCAACTTTTTCAAAATATGTTATACTTTTTAAAACATTCAGCTTTTTAAAGTCTTTTTTAACATGGAAGTCATTGCAATGCATTTGAGCTGTAACAATTATCTCTCTCTCTCTCTCTCTCTCTCTCTCTCTCTCACACACACACACACACTCTCCCTCTCTCTCACAGACACATCAAGAGAGAGAGAGGGCGATCAAGAGGAGAGAGAGAGGGTGATCAAGAGGAGAGAGTGGGCGATCAAGAGGAGAGAGAGAGGGCGATCAAGAGGAGAGAGAGAGGGCGATCAAGAGGAGAGAGAGAGGGCGATCAAGAGGAGAGAGAGAGGGCGAGCAAGAGAAGAGAGAGAGAAGAGAGAGAGGGCGATCAAGAGAAGAGAGAGAGGTCGATCAAGAGGAGAGAGAGAGGGCGATCAAGAGGAGAGAGAGAGGGTGATCAAGAGAAGAGAGAGAGGGTGATCAAGAGGAGAGAGTGGGCGATCAAGAGGAGAGAGAGAGGGTGATCAAGAGAAGAGAGAGAGGGCGATCAAGAGAAGAGAGAGGGCGATCAAGAGAAGAGAGAGGGCGATCAAGAGAAGAGAGAGAGTAATGTAACCTCATGTAATGTATAACTCCTATGAAAATGTTCAAAAAGTGCTCAAACTTCACATGTGTGCTAACAGTCCAGCCGTGAAGACATCTACGGGACAGTTTTGAGATTTCTTCAAATGCCGTTGCCATGGCAACACAATGCTCACCATGAAACACGGTTTTCTCATAACTTCAGTGAAAATGCTCGAAATAGCCCAAAACTTCACAGGTTTGGTAACGATGCAGCCATCAACACATCTAAGCGTATTATGGGGTGTCATCAAATGCCGTTGCCATGGCGACAGATAATTCACCATCAAGTTAGTTCAAAAGTTTGTAGTTCAAATATTCTGCTGCTTTCCCAAGCCTTTTTACTTTCTTTTCTCATCTTAATACAAATTCATTCACTACTACTTACATCTGATATTTAACTCCTTCAGCCTATTTTCAGCTGCAGAAACCATTCAACTCTTACATTATTCGGCTATTTCAGGACATCAGGCTATATATGTTTTTTTAAACCTTTTATTTTAAATATTAAGCTTTTTCTGCATTTTTGTAACTAAAAGCAGCTACCATTTAGCTAATAACATATTCAGCTTTTTCTGCATTTTCAGCTAAATTAATTCACAGTTTACAGCATTCGCACGCATTTTCTGCAGGAAATGCATTTTCTAGTTTGTCTTGATATATGATCGATGGCTGATTGATATCATTTGATATATCCACCTGAACATCAGCAGGGCCGTTTTCAGCTTCCTGCTGAACGACGCCCAGAGACTTCAAATAATCAGTATTTATTGTGTTGGTGTGTCTTTAACTTAGAGGAGGTTAACTCCACCCGCCTGGTTAACTCCACCCGCCTGGTTCCTCCCGTGTCATAAAACAGCCTCACTTCCTCTTATTTGTTTGTCTCTGCTGCAGCTTCCTGCTTTCTGCCCGTCCGTCACACTCTGGAAAATAGATTGTACTTTATGTATAGTATACTTTATATTTAATGTGCTTTATATATAACATACTTTATATTTAATGTACTTTATATTTAATATACTTGATATTGAATATACTGTGTGTGTGTTTTCAGGACAGAGTGTTTGATAATCTTCTCTGGAGCTTTCCTTCAGCACGCTGAGCTGCAGGAAGGTGAGCATTGCTTTCACTGACATTAAGACATTGTATATTATATTATATTATATTCTCTTATATCACGTTCTCTTATATCACGTTCTCTTATATCACGTTCTCTTATATCACGTTCTCTTATATCATGTTCTCTTATATCACGTTCTCTTATATCACGTTCTCTTATATCACGTTCTCTTATATCACGTTCTCTTATATCACGTTCTCTTATATCACGTTCTCTTAAATCACGTTCTCTTATATCACGTTCTCTTATATCATGTTCTCTTAAATCATGTTCTCTTATATCATGTTCTCTTATATCACGTATTAATATGTATTAATATGAAATATTCCTCTGGTGTTTTGTACGCAGCTGATGTGGGATGGCAGAAACCGACCTGATGTCTGCAGCTTCTGGTACTTTATATACAATCATTATACCGTACTGTCCCTGAATGTGCCATGGTGTTTTTCTTCACCCAGCATTATCAATATATTTACCGTACTGTCCCTGAACACACCATGGTGTTTTTCTTCACCCAGCATTATGAATATATTTGCCGTACTGTCCCTGAACACACCATGGTGTTTTTCTTCACCCAGGATTATGAATATATTTACCGTACTGTCCCTGAACGCACCATGGTGTTTTTCTTCAGCCAGCATTATGAATATATTTACCGTACTGTCCCTGAACGCACCGTGGTGTTTTTCTTCACCCAGCATAAAATAGATCAACCAGATGCTAAACTAAATGATATAAAAGGTTATTATTACTCTTAAAACTTATTAAAACTGAGATATTATTTTATAGTCCCATAAACAACACCCACTGTTTATATATATATCTGTGTGTGTGTGTGTGTGTGTGTGTGTGTGTGTGTGTGTGTGTGTGTTTGTGTGTAGTTCTCACCACGAAGCAGCTGCAGCAGAAATTGTCATCAGAGAAGAAGAGCGAGCGTCCGGTCCTCCTGCTGTTTGAGATCCCGTCCGCTCGAGTTGTTGAGAACCAGCTGTCCAAATACGTGGTGTCTTATTTATATTTATTTTTTAAATAATATTTTCCTAACCCTAACCCGAGCTCCTCCAACAATGTAACATATAATATATATAATATATATAATCTAAGACATGAACAATAAAACAAATAATACAATTAAGATAAAATAAAATAGATTATGTTGGACACCAATGTGCAATTAATGCAGGATGAGATGAAGTAATTTCCATTTACTCATTTTATTCCTTTTTTTTACTTAAATAACAAATAATATATATTCAATATATTTTATTTACTTAATTTAAAAATTCTTTAAAAAATGTATTAATTATTTTGTTTTGGTCTGGTTAAGTCACAGGAGTGCCATAGAGATATCAAATATGTAAAAGCAAAATGATCCTAATATCTGTTTTTATTTCATGTATTATTTCAATTTTTAAGATGTATTGTGGGTGTTCCTGATGTGAGACGATGCGTGCAGGTGTATGAGGTGGTGGTGATGTTGTCGGGCAGTTTTGATTCCCGCCGTGTGTCCGTGGAGCGCCGTTACTCCGACTTCCTGCGGCTGCAGCGCCTCCTCCTGCAGGAGTTCGACTCGGCGCTGGAAGACGTGTCGCCCCCCCCCAAACTCCTGAGCGGGAACTTCTGCACCGCCGTGCTGTTGCAGCGCCGCCTTGCCCTGCAGGACTACCTGGCCAAACTCTTCTCGACACGCTGCGTCCGCCGCTCGCCTCTGTTCGCTGCCTTCTTCACGGACGCCGAGCAGCGGGGGGCGCTGGTGCTGCTGCGGGGGGGGCAGTTCAGCCTGGCGCTGAGGCAGCTAGAAGACGTGTTAGCGCTGCAGGTACAAAGGTTTATTACAAAATTAACCAGAACCCTCAGGTCTGCTTTCTGTCCCCAGAACCAGATCTCTCAGGTCTGCTTTCTGTCCCCAGAACCCTGAGGTCTGCTTTCTGTCCCCAGAACCAGATCTCTCAGGTCTGCTTTCTGTCCCCAGAACCCTGAGGTCTGCTTTCTGTCCCCAGAACCAGAACCCTCAGGTCTGCTTTCTGTCTCCAGAACCAGATCTGTCAGGTCTGCTTTCTGTCCCCAGAACCAGAACCCTGGTTCTGGGGACCAGAAGGGTAAACCTTGCATTATAATAAAGAGAGACACAAAAATGTTTGTGGAGCAGGGTTTTGTACATGATCTGTTTGGTTTTGATTGGGGAAAAACCTGAATAATCCTAGAACATTTTGGAAAACCATTTATTCTATATCTACCGGTGAAATCCGTAATGAGCTACCTCCGTGCCTTACCACAGCATCTGGCACTATATCGGACAGGGCCACCATGTTACATTGTATTAATGAGCATTTTGTGTCCTGTGGCTCTCTGTTTGATTCTGTCACTAACTCTGCTTCTGTGAACACCACAGTCTGTGACTCTGAACAATGTGGTCTGGAAAACCCCTTCAGTTTCTTTTTCTTTTACTATTGATGTTGTTCGTGAAGCCTTAACCAAGTTAGATCCTAAAAAACCAGCTGGTCCAGACAATGTGGAACCTTTCTTTTTAAAGATAGCTGCAGATTTTATTGCACCAAAAAGAGAGCACAAATGCAATTCCAACTGTATGGAAGTCAGCGTATGTCTTGCCTTTACTAAAAGGAGGGGAGGCCACTTTATTAAATAATTATAGGCCAATCTCTAAATTGTCAGTTCTGGCCAAGGTTCTTGAACGCCTAGTGAGTGAACAGGTAAAGGTGTTTTTATGTAAAAATAATATCCTGTCTAAACATCAGTCAGGTTTCAGAAAGCAACATAGCACCATCACTGCCACAATGAAAGTGGTGAATGATATTGCGGGTATCTTAGACAATAAGCAGAGTTGTGCAGCTCTATTTATTGACCTTTCCAAAGCGTTTGATACCGTCGATCATCGCATCTTGAAGCAGAGGCTACTCAGTATTGGCTTATCCAGCCATGCAGTGGGTGGTTTGTGAACTACCTCTCTGAAAGGTCCCAATGTGTTCACTTTGATGGGCTGTCTTCTGAGTGGCTAAACATTACTAATGGTGTTCCTCAAGGTTCTGTTTTAGGTCCACTTTTATTCTCCATCTATATCAATAGTTTAGGTGAAAATGTGGATGAAGCAACTCTACATTTTTATGCGGATGATACCGTGACAGAACAAATGACCATATCTTCCCTTCTAAAAGGGTTAAATTAATAATCTTTTTTCTCAAAGTAATGATAAACCTGTGAGTTGGATGTAGAAGAGTCAGAACAATATAGATGTTTTTTATTTGAAAGAAAATTCAGATTGAACATAGTAAAAAACTGTAAATTATAGTGTATTATAGTGAAAACTACCCTTGGATGATGGTAAGGTAGACTAAAAGCTTTAGGAATCCAAAGTACAACACATAATAAGTACCCTGTATCCAGATTGATTCAAAACAAGTGACATTTGACCTTTTTAGAGAGGTTTAGCAAAAAAAACTCCACCTCTGAGGTGATTTGGGTGGAAATGGGGGTTTTACCGTTTCTCTGGAACCCATTGGTCGATTTTGGTGATTGACATCTCTTTATGTCCGTTAGAGCCAATAGAATCGAAGGGGAATCTCCCCTCTCACACACATGGTTGAAAAAAAAGGTAGGGGCTTCGCGCATGCAGTTTTGCATCAGAGCGAACCTATCTCTAGCTCTGATATCTGGAAACGGAAAAGCAGGTTTATTGCTTATGGATTATCAGAAATCATTTCAAAGGGACACAGACACATTAGATTAACCTATGGATTAACTTCAGCAGCGTTTTATCGTTTTAATGCCATTGAAGATCACTTTTGAGCAGACTACAGACACAGGTAAGCCATGTTAGCATTTTTAGCTACCTAGCGCCACATGTTTTGATGTCTGTTTTTGTTTATAAAGTCGCGAGTTCGTATCATGGAGTGATAATGTATGCACCCATCGATTCTGTGTCACCTCACGATGTGAAACGATGTCATGAATGTGCAGAAAAGATAAATAATAAGGTTTTGTGAGTGATTTTCGGTGCAGTAAGGTGTTAGCATTTATCGCTCGTTGCTAATTCAGAGGCTCAGTGTTAGCATTGTGGGTTTTATTTTGATATAAAACGTTCATTGTTTATTAAATGAACATGCTCTCTGACACTGTTTCCTGCAAGATGTTGCGGCAGTGCCCCGGTACCGGGGTCTCTCGGGCTTAACAGGTTAAGGATGCTGTTGTTAAATTACAGGCTGTTTTTAATATTATTCAGACTCAGCTCTCTGAGCTTAAGCTTCTTTTAAATGTTGATAAAACCAAGGTAATGCTATTTTCAAAGGCCAAAAAGACACCGGAGACCACTTTGGATATTGTTACTACGCAAGGAAAAGTACTTGAAGTGGTTACCTGTTATAAATACCTTGGTATCTGGCTTGATGATTGCCTTTGTTTTAAACTTCAAGTCAATAATCTGCTTAAAAAGCTAAGGGTGAAGCTAGGTTTCTTTTTCAGAAACAAGTCCTGTTTCTCGCTTGAGGCCAGGAAAAGGCTCTGTGACCTTTTGACCTGTGCTGGACTATGGTGATCTGGTCTATCTGAATGCACCTGCCCATTACCTGAACAAGTTAGATGCTGCCTATCACAGCGCACTGAGATTTGTCACTAATTGTAAAGCACTCACTCATCACTGTACCCTGTATGCCAAGGCAGGTCTGCCATCACTTACTGTACGGAGGCTCAGTCATTGGTACATGTTCATCTATAAATGCCATGTTGGGTAAACTCCCATCTTATATCTGCTCTCTGATCTCACAGAGTTGCAGGTAGCTATTGCCTGAGATCACATGATGTGGTCTTGTTACATGTGCCAAGTGCTAGGACTGACTTAGGTAAGAAAGCTTTTAGGTGCGCAGCCCCTCTAACTTGGAACAGTCTTCAAACATAATTAAAACTGAGAAATTTGGTTCCACTGCATATTTGTAAAGCTTGGATAGGTGCAATGCAATGATACTGTTGCATTGATACTTGTCAATGTCGATAGGTATGTAAATGTAGCCCTGTAAATATGCTGTATGATGTCCTTTATTGTTTTATGTTGTATTATGTTTCATGTTGTAACCTATTTGCTGCAGGTCTCCCTTGAAAAAGAGATCAATGATCTCAATGGGACCACCTGGTTAAATAAAGGTTTGAAATTATATCTCTCTGGGCTGCTTTCTGTCCCCAGAACCAGAACCCTCAATTCTGTTTTCTGTCCCCAGAACCAGATCTCTCAGGTCTGCTTTCTGTCCCCAGAACCAGAACCCTCAGGTCTGCTTTCTGTCCCCAGAACCATATCTCTCAGGTCTTCTGGTCTGCTTTCGTTCCCAAGTCAGAACTAAACATGGAGAAGTTCAGTTATTATGCTCCATACATGTGGAACAAACTGAGTTGAGTTATACTTCTCTTAATGTTTTCATAGTTGTAAAGTGCTTGTGTTGCAGGAGAAGTTGCAGTGCTGGCAGAGTCCCGCCCTCCGCCTGCCAACGCTCTGCGCCCTGGCTGTCTGTCACTGCGACCTGCAGCAGCATCAGGAGGCGTTGGATGCGGCTCAGAGGGCGCTGCCTGTTGCCCGGCGCTGCGGCCTGCGTAGCCACCGGGCGGCTCTGCTGCGCCTCCTGATGGACCTGAGCTACCGGCTGGGGCTGCCCGGGGCCCGCCTGCAGGACGAGCTGCAGGGTCTGCAGGACCAACCCCCCGCCCTGAAATACGACCCCCCCACCCTGAAGGAGCTGGTCATCCAACAGTTCACCTGAGGGGCCAAACATGTGAGACGAGATACAGAGCGAAGGAGTCCTCAACAAGACTCAGCATTATGAGTCCTAAACCCTGACATGAGTCAGCATTATGAGTCCTGAACCCTGACATGAGTCAGCATTATGTGTCCTGAACCCTGACATGAGTCAGCATTATGAGTCCTAAACCCTGACATGAGTCAGCATTATGAGTCCTAAACCCTGACATGAGTCAGCATTATGAGACCTGAACCCTGACATGAGTCAGCATTATGAGTCCTAAACCCTGACATGAGTGAGCATTATGAGTCCTAAACCCTGACATGAGTCAGCATTATGAGTCCTAAACCCTGACATGAGTGAGCATTATGAGTCCTAAACCCTGACATGAGTCAGCATTATGAGTCTTAAACCGGACATGACTCAGCATTTCCTTACTTCCTGTCCCCTGGTCTGGAGGTCAATGATTCTCTGCATGCATTTTTGTTCACCCTTAAATAAGGTCTCGGGTCAACACAAACTGAAGAGACTTTAACTTTTTGTTCGAGCACATAAAACAAGTCTACGTGTATCTGTTTATTTATTATCATATATCGTTACTTGTTTTATACACAGACTTTGTCTGATGTGTAGGAGCCAAAATGTTGATTTATTATTTTTGATTATTTAATCATTTCATTTATGTAATGGAGTAGGTCATTGATTGGTGTGAGTTGATCGTGACCCGCACACGCGGTTGGGCGGAGCGGCTGATTGGTGCTGCGATTGCCTCAGCTGGTTAAAAGAGTCCTGCTGATTATACTCTGTGTTCTATTTTGGTTGTGAAGCCACACATTTTTTTGACCGCTGCACTGCAGAGAAATGACGATTTGTTTATTTTATGTCACGAAACAGTTTTAACATCGTCTGGTAAGATACCTTCATTTGTGTTTAAAGAAGAGAACGAACAGTGAAGAAATGGAAACGATAACATGGAAATAAATGTACCAAAAACAAAATATATATCTCTGAATGATGTGTGAGGGCGTCGGCCAGGCGTTAAACCAAAGAACAGGAAAGAGCTAAAGGAAGTGGGAAAAGATTGCTCTTTTATGATGTTTAACTGTTTCTGCACTGTGGATAGAGACAGAGGAGTTATACACACTTTTAAATACTGTACATATACTGTCTATGTTGGAGTGTGTGTACCGCTTTGATGTTTTTCAAATAAATGTTTGAATAATTGTTCAAGTTTATTTCCTACAAGTCAAAATGTGTTTATGAATAAAAGATGGATGAGAAAAAAATGTATATTTATATTTAATCGAAGACTATATATTACTCTGAGTTAATGATGGTCCCTAATCCTAATAAGAATATTAATAAAACATTTATTAAAAATAGTAACAAAAACTATAGGGTTAGGTTTAGAAAATATATCATGAACTTCCCCACTCAGTCCATCAAGACCCGAGCAGTTATACAGAAGTCCAAGGTAAGGCACGGGCCGGCGCATCTCGGTCGAAGTAATCCCTAACTTTGACCCTAGGAGATAGAGGTAGGGGACAGAGATGGAGAGGCACGATGTGTCTACGTCAGCAAGGGAATGCTCCGGTTTTCGGACAAAATTAACATGGGATCTCTCCGGTCATTGGACGTACTTCGTCTCACTGGAATATTAACGTTCAGATTGAATACAAAATCGACCCCATTACAATGACGGGAGAGTTTTGAAAGTGACAAAACACTGTTCCATACATTTAAAAACAATTAAACAATGTTTACCCAGGATTCAGGCACCTTCCCTGGCTTGTAAAGTGCGGTGATGCACCTTGGAGGTATCAGACTATTTAAAAAATGTATACCCATGATTCAATCACTTTTCCTGGCTTGTAAAGTGCAGTGATGAGCCCTGGTAGTATCAGACTCTTTTAACCTGTTAAGCACCTAGCCTGTTTTTCATGTTTCAGGCTCGAAAATGACATGCCCAAAACAAATGACTACAACTTAACTTCTAAAAGGGTTATATGAATAATTCATTTTATCAAAGCAAGGTTACATCTGTGAGTTGGATGTAGAAGTGTTAGAATCAATATAAATGATTTTTATTTTAAAGAAAATTCAGATTTTACATAGTAAAAAACTGTAAATTATAGTGTCCGTCCAAAAATTCTTTTTTACAGATAGTGAAAACTACCCTTGGATGATGGGTTAGTAGACTAAAAGCTTTAGGAATCCAAAGTACAACATAAAATAAGTACCCTGTATCAAGATTGATGCAAAACAAGTGGCATTTGACCTTTTTAGAGAGGTTTAGCCAAAACATCCCCACCTCTGAGGTGATTTGGGTGAAAGTGTTTTTTTTTCTATATCTCTGGCCCCCCTTGGTCGATTTTGATGGTTGACACCTCTTTCTGACCGTTAGAGCCAATAGAATCGAAGGGGGAGGCCCACATATACACTCTATGGCCGTGTCTCAATTCAGGGGTTTCATCCTTCGAAGGCTGCATTCGTAGACCGCATACGTCACTTCCGCCGAAAGAAGGCTGTCCCAATAAAAAAAAAGGCGAGACTCCTCCGAATGCAGCCCACGAATGCAGCCTAATTTTCCCCAATTTGAAGGATACATCTGATGTACACTCCGCGGCCTACCATATCCCAGGGTGCAATGCGCGCAGGGAAGAGTGAGTTTTTTTCAAATGAAATGGCTTCCGGTCTCCCCAGCAGAGTGGATTTAAAAGCAGCAGCAAGCGGAGGAATCACTAATGAATGTGAGTATTGGGTTTTAACTTACTTTAAATTAACTAACGTCACACACGTCAAACCCAAGGGGCATTAAAACGTACATTTTCGTTAAATAATACGGATAAATATGTGACGCTAACTAGCTAGCTGGACGTACTGCACTGTTGTTTACACTTATTTTTTATTCAATTCAGAAGTTTACTAAAGTCATACAGAGGCTCTGTTATAGATACGTTATACTTTATATTACATAAATGGACCAAAGTGAAAACATTTAGACCGGTATAGCCTACAGTACGGTGGGATTTATAAAATGCTACCCTGACGTGTAGCTGCTGTTAGCTTTATTTATTTCTCTGACATGTTCCAATGTTTTACTGTTTATTAAACTTTGGGACAACATTACAACCTTTGTGTTCAGCTCATGCTGCTTTGAGGTAGGGCTAAAAGAAAAGCCTATTTTAAATATTTCCACCAGATTTGATCATCTTTTATAAGGTTAAAGTTTATTTAATGTATCCTAATCCCATAATAAGACAATCAAAAATAGACAGCAGCCTTTAGCTTGTTGTTAGTTTGTGCCGTGCTGTCAAAGGGATGCACGTGGGACTGTCTTCATCTCTTTAGTTTTTTAAAAACCAGAACAGTACATCATTTTAAATGATCCTTTAGGGATTGTTTGTCTGAAATGCTTAGAGTTACATTTTGCAATTATACTTCTGCAACCCTGTGTTTAATATGATTAATTCACTTTTTTCTTTTTCTCTTGTTTTTCTCTGTAATTAGTAAAATTCTGGAGAAATGGATCTGCTGGAGAAGGACCCCTAATCTGAAGAGTGCACAGCGGATCATCAGGACAGAGCTGCCATCCACCTGGACCCCCCGAGGTGCTGGAGAAGGACCCCTAACCCCAGTGGATCATCAGGACAGAGCTGCCATCCACCTGGACCCCCCGTGGTGCTGGAGAAGGACCCCTAACCCCAGTGGATCATCAGGACAGAGCTGCCATCCACCTGGACCCCCGTGGTGCTGGAGAAGGACCCCTAATCTGAAGAGTGCACAGTGAATCATCAGGACAGAGCTGCCATCCACCTGGACCCCCCGTGGTGCTGGAGAAGGACCCCTAACCCCAGTGGATCATCAGGACAGAGCTGCCATCCACCTGGACCCCCGTGGTGCTGGAGAAGGACCCCTAATCTGAAGAGTGCACAGCGGATCATCAGGACAGAGCTGCCATCCACCTGGACCCCCCGAGGTGCTGGAGAAGGACCCCTAACCCCAGTGGATCATCAGGACAGAGCTGCCATCCACCTGGACCCCCCGTGGTGCTGGAGAAGGACCCCTAACCCCAGCGGATCATCAGGACAGAGCTGCCATCCACCTGGACCCCCCGTGGTGCTGGAGAAAGCAAACCGGCGATCAGGACCCTCCTCCACCCAGACCTCTGCTTACTGCCGTCCTACAGACTTGTGTCTTAGTTTCAGAATATGATTTTGCATGTGTCCTTTCTTTCAATAGATATGTAACGATTATAGCTTGAGTCTGTCTGACTCCCCAAACAGCTGCTTCTATATACTCGCTGCACATATAATACAAATAAACAACTCCATAAACACACTTTTGCTGATATTTGTGTTACTGCTGGTGATGTTAAATAACATGATTGATTTCCTGTCTCAATGATGAAAGTTATAATAATAAAAGACATGAAGCTGCAGAGAGAGGATGGATATATTCTTACCTCTACTTTGTGATAAGATGAAAATACAATATGAAATTGTAATTGTTAAACACATTGTTTATTTCATTTACTGAGGTTTTAACCATTATTTCCAACATGTGTACATAAGCAGTGGAATAATAGGATATCTCTAGGTCATTCAACTGTCTTCAGTTTAATTTTATTAATACAAAAAATAGGTCATAGAAAATGTTTAATTGTGTATTTCAGCAGAGCGGGGGGTCACGGTGCTGCTGGACCTGGAGGTGCTGACCTGGGGTCAGTGGGACATCATCTGGGCAGGTTTAGGGGAAGAAGGAGAATATAAACTGTTATGATCACAGCTATTAAGATTAGAACACTAATATTGTTAAGAATCAATCTCTACAACATGCTTTTGTTCATTTAAAAAACATATTCTTTTATTAGTACAGAAAAATTAAGACTTATTTTAAATATGAAATAATATGATTAAATTACATCAGCTATATATAATTTACTTGTTAACTTACTAATGTAACATTACTGGGGGCTAAAGGAACAGCTTCATCTTATTTACTTGGCCATGTTCCTCTTTAATTCATCGCCGACGGTGATCTCCAAAAAATGTAAAAGTAAAGTTTCTGGATCCTTTTCAGCTGAGTTAGCTTGTAAGCTAATTTGCTAGCAGGCTGCTGGAGTAGCGTAACCGAACAGCGCGTATCACGTGACGTATATACGAAGCGCTCCGTAGGCTAGACCGTCTCATTTCGTAGGCCGCTCGGTCCAGCCTACCTGGTCTACGTGGGCTAGGTCCTCCGTGGACCGCGTAGGCTGCGTCCTCCGGAGGGTGCAGCCCCTGAATTGAGACACGGCCATTGTAAAGAGAAAAGGTGGGGGCTGCGCGTCTGGAAATCTAAAGCAGAGTGGACCGATCTCTCCTTCTGGAATTTGGAAACTAAAAAGCAGTTTTATTGCTTATGGATTATCAGAAATCATTTCAAAGAGGACACAGACACATTGGATTAACCTATGGATTAACTGCAGCATCGTTTTTTTATCGTTTTAATGCCATTGAAGACCAGTTTTGACCAAGGTAAGCCATGTTAGCGTTTCTAGCTACCTAGCTCCACATGTTATGATGTACACTTTCGTTTATAGCATCGCAAATGTTTATCACTGAGTGTTGAGGTGGGCACCACTAGATTCAGTGTCTCCAGGAGAACAAAAACGAGTGGTTGGCTGTGCATCTAGGATAAGTAATAAGGGAGTTATGAGTGAGTTTAAGTGCCGTTTTAGGTTAAATCTTTTCGCTCGTGGCTAATTCAGAGGCTGAGTGCTAGCATTGTGGTTTTCTTTTGGATTTAAAAAAAAAAAAGATCAGTTAGCTGAGTTTCTTCCCGTTACATGGATATAAAACATTCATAGTTTAATAAATATTAAGATTCCTTAGACGTTGTTTCCTGCAAATGACGCGTTTATCCGCCCGGTACCGGGCGGGCCGTGCGTAACAGGTTAAACAACTTAAACCGAGAGACCGGTACCGGGGCACTGCCGCAACATCTTGCAGGAAACAGTGTCTGAGGGCATGTTCATTTAATAAACTATGAATGTTTTATATCCATGTAACGGGAAGAAACTCATCTAACTGATTTTTTATTTATTTTTTCAAAAGAAAACCCACAATGCTAACACTGAGCCTCTGAATTAGCAACGAGCGAAAAATGCTAACACCTTACTCAGGGTTCTTACACCTTTTCCAAAGTCAAATTCAAGCACTTTTCAAGCATTTTCAAGGTGC